CAATGAAGAAAATACTTCGTTTAGACGAGAATATGACGTGAGGATGCGACGTTCTACGAGACGAAATTTGGAGAGAACGAGCAATTCTAGAAGGAAACTGGGACGAGTTAACTTTCGCAAAGACTTCTGGGACTGTTACTAGAGACAAGGGAGAAATGACCAAAACTGACCGCCCTGATCGGCGCGTCCCCACTTGAGTAACAGACCCAGAAAAAATTGCGGGAAATATTCCGGCCCTAATCGTTTCAAAAGTGGCGAATGGACTTGCTGTGCCCAAAGACCAAGGAAAGGTGTAAACGGGAGAAGATTGGTCGCTACAATTGGAATTGGTCTCTCAATAGAGAACCTGAAAGCAGACACCTTTGAACTAAATTCCGTCTACCACTTCCACGAAATGTAATGGACTTACAGCGGAAAAAGACTAACATATAAAAGTGAATTTCAATTCAGCATTTTAAACATTGGGATGCAAGGCGATTTTTGTAATAACTAACCACCTAAGATTGAATTCTTCAAAACACGATCTGGTCTCTCCGAATTACGGAAAAAGAAGACACCTTTAGGACACCTACTCAATGAAACTCAGTTCCCTTTTTCATCGTCAACTAACATCTTAAAGAGAAAACTTTAAGAAGATTTTCCCCTTTTTACGGACAAAACTGTGTTTGCTACGGCTCAAGAACCTTAGCGTTTACAAGCGTGATGGTACCGATTACCAGCAAAGAATAAGAAACAATCTGACAAAATGGCCATTGTTCAAGCTGTAATTGATTTCCATCCAAGCAATCGAAAGCAAAAGTAGCAGCTTACAACAGACTGTATGTATCCATTAAAAAAATGAAGTCTCTCTTTCGCTTGGCCGTGGGAGATCTGGATACGAGATAAGACGCGTCCTACGGCTTATCGTAAGCTACAGCGGAAGTTGGAATATTGAGGCTCTTTAGAGACAAACACATATACTCATTTGCATTCGAAAAGAGTTTACAAATAAGCAAAGTCATTCGCTGTGCGCTAGTCCATTCATAAAAACCGTCTCGAGTCTACATTTGAGACAAATCTCAAACAACGACGAAGGAAGACGAAAACAGTCCATAATGTTAGGCTCCAGTCCATTTATAAAAACCTCACCGGCTTGGAAGGCTAAAAAGCCTCGCTGACTGGACGTCACCTTATTAACTACTACTGAAACAGGTGCTAAACGTTTTAAAACTGAAGCATCGCCTCAAAAAATTTTAAATAAAAAATAGAACTAAACAAAATCCATCTGTATTTTATTATTTTTAAAAAATTTCGAAGGACGGTTAAATTTAGAGGAAAACTCGCCCTTGTGACGTTTTAGAATGAATTGAAGTTCTATTCTCTATACCGAGCATTTTCAATAAAACAAACGGTTCTTCTCGGCAGGCGGCAGCTCACATGTCAATTATGGAAAGAGAGGTAATTGGAACTTTATGAAAAGGACTATATATTGCGGTGTTGAATTGTTCTGTTTTCAATACTGGTGTTGCAAAACCTTTCCCTTCCATTGTTTTCTAGGTTGGCCTTGTTTATACAATTTGATTCGGTGTTTCAGCCCTTAAAAATCTATACCAACAATAACACTGAATTTCTGTTTGCACTCTACCTACAACATTAAGTCTAAGGCTTTAGTTAATAGATCGGCTTTATTACGCGCTACAGCAGATGGCCGAAGTGAAATAAAGCTAATAAAAGGAGAGTAGATATCAGTTTTAACCACGACAAATACATGCTTATTGTGACAAGTAAAACTATGGCTGAACAGAACTGCAATCGATTCCTGGATTTTTGGATTAAACTGGTTTCCCACAGGAGAAGTTTCTTCCTTGGTTTCTGTGTTTTAAACTTTGTATTTTCCCTCGTGGCGACTCTAGGAATTCTTTTGGCCATCCGTGCCTTAATGAAGACCTCAACGATACCAGCCACCGTCAAGAAGCTGTTCCTAAGTCTGGCTTTCTCTGATCTTACAGTTGGATTGTGTTCCCAGTTTGCGACCGCTATTATCAGCGCCGTGATGTTGAAGATGGCATCAAGTGAAGACGACTTTGCCTTCTTTTGTCCAACAGTTTTGATTGTGGTTTTATATTTTCAGTATCTTCTCGCCGTTGCATCTTTCCTGAGTGTTATTATCATTGCATTTGATAGATTTCTCGCTTCTCGCTGATAGACTTCTCGCTCCATCTACGATATCAGGAACTTGTCACGCCCAGACATGTTACAATAGTGTTGGTATCTTTATGGTTAACAAGCTGTGTTTCTCCCTTCCTGTTTATTTTCCTCCCGAAAGGCACTGAAATGATAGCTGGCGTTATTTCCGTTATAGGATATGTTCTGACAACCGTGGCGTACATTTGTCTTTACAAAGTTGTCACATTTCATCAGAATCAGATATACAGTCAAAATCAGCTTCAAAATGCCCAAACAAGGGAGGTACACCGACAAAGAAGGTCCGCCTATAGTAGTATATTTGTCTCTGTAGTTTTCTTAGCTTGTTATTTTTCCTTTTTGCTTAAAATTGCACAATATTGTATTTGACTAACACTTCTGAAATTTCATTTCTAGTAGCTCATTTTGCGTCTATGTTCTTGATTTACCTGAATTCATCATTAAATTCTTTTGTTTATTGTTGGAGGTATCGAGAGATTCGCCAAAGTGTAAAAAGCACAGTAAAACAAATATTTCACATGAACGAGAACATGTCATGAAGAAGGATTTAAAGATCTGGGTAGTTTGAACTGACAGTCTTTTCAGTGTTTTTGCGAAGTCTGAAAAACGAAATTTAGTAAGAAAACTAATGGACTTGCTTTAGGCCAAAAGAAAATAAAAAATGTAAAACGAAAAAGAATAGTCTATTACAAAATGGAAATAATGTTAAGAAATTGGGAAATGACACATGACTAGTAAAGTGGTCACCGTTATAACTGTCACAAATTTATCACAGGAACAAAGTTATGAGGATCTTGTCATGTGATGGACTAATTGTGCTTAGCCGTTTGAGCCCTATCATTGATCAGCATCAAAGTTCTACTTGTAATACCTACGCTTTAGAAAACGGAGCGGTCATGAGAATTATGGACATGATCACACAGATTCTTTAACAACTTCTCCCAACTACTATTATAGGAAATGTATAGGGACAACAAATGAGAATTTGAAAATAGGCATTACAATTTTGAAAGCACACACCTTTGAACTAAATTCCGCCTATGACTTCCACGAAATGTAATGGACTTACAGCAGAAAAAGACTAACACATAAAAGTGAATTTCAATTCAGCATTTTAAATATTGGGATGCAAGGCGATTTTTGTAGTAGCTACCTACCTACCTAAAATTGAATTCTTCAAAACACGATCTGGTGTCTCCCAATTGCGAAAAAAGAAGACGCCTTTAGCCCACCTACTCAATGAAACTCAGTTCCCTTTTTCATCGTCAACTAACTTCTTAAAGAGAAAAACTTAAGAGGATTTTCCCCTTTTTATGGACAAAACTGTGTTTGCTACGGCTCAAGAACCTTAGCGTTTACAAGCGTGATGGTACCGATTACCAGCAAAGAATAAGCAACAATGTGACAAAATGGCCATTTTTCAAGCTGTAATTGATTTCCATCCGAGCAATCGAAAGCAAAAGTAGCAGCTTACAAAAAACTGTATGTCTCCATTAAAAAAAGTGAAGTCTCTCTTTCGCTTTGCCGTGGGAGATCTGGATACGAGATAAGACGCGTTCTAAGGCTTATCGTAAGCTACAGCGGAAGTTGCAATTTTGAGGCTTTTTAGAGACGAACACATCTACTCGTTGGCATTCGAAAAGAGTTTACAAATAAGCAAAGTCATTCGCTGTGCGCTAGTCCATTCAGAAAAACCGTCGCAAGTCTACATTTGAGACAAATCTCAAACAACGACGAAGGAAGACGAAAACAGTCCATTATGTTAGGCTCCAGTCCATTTATAAAAACCTCACCGGCTTGGAAGACTAAAAAGCCTCGCTGACTGGACGTCACCTTATTAACTACTACTGCAACAGGTGCTAAACGTTTTAAAACTGAAGCATCGCATCAAAAAATTTTTAATAAAAAATAGAACTAAACAAAATCCATCTGTATTTTATTATATTTCAAAAATTTCGCTGGACGGTTAAATTTAGAGGAAAACTCGCCCTTTCAAAGTTTTAGAATGAATAGAAGTTCTATTCTCTATAACGAGTATTTTCAATAAAACAAACGGTTCTTCTCAGCAGGCAGCAGCTCACATGTCAATTATGGAAAGAGAGGTAACTGGAACTTTATGGAAAGGACTATATATCGGGTTGTTAAATTGTTCTGTTTTCAATACTGGTGTTGCAAAACCTTCCCCTAGCATTGTTTTCTGGGTTGGCCTTGTATTATACAATTTGATTCGGTGTTTCAGCCCTTAAAAATCTATACCAACAATAACACTGAATTTCTGTTTGCACTCTACCTACAACATAAGTCTAAGGCTTTAGTTAATGGATCGGCTTTATTACGCGTTACAGCAGATGGCCGATGTGAAATAAAGCTAATAAAAGGAGGGGGTAATAAAGGTAGATATCAGTTTTAACCACGACAATACATGCTTATTGTGACAAGTAAAACTATGGCTGAACAGAACTGCAATCGATTTCTGGATTTTTGGATTAAACTGGTTTCCCACAGGAGAAGTTTCTTCCTTGGTTTCTGTGTCTTAAACTTTGTATTTTCTCTCGTGGCGTCTATAGGAAATCTTTTGGCCATCCGTGCCTTAATGAAGACCTCGACGATACCAGCCACCGTCAAGAAGCTGTTCCTAAGTCTGGCTTTCTCTGATCTTGCAGTTGGATTGTGTTCGCAGCTTATGACCGCTATTATCAGCGCCGTGATGTTGAAGATGGCATCAAGTGAAGACGACTTTGCCTTCTTTTGTCCAACAGTTTTGATTGTGGTTTTATATTTTCAGTATCTTCTCGCCGTTGCATCTTTCCTGAGTG